CCGAAACTTAAGTAGTTTCTTTTTTATATTGAAACCTTATTGGGCGACAGTATCTAGTGGAAGAAGGACGAGGGTTTTTCCAAATTACTATACGAGTATCTTCTCCCTCAGATTTTTTCAAAAGCTGCAAAGGAACATACGAAGTTACAAACAAATTACTGTCATCGTCCGTTTCAGAGTCACTAAAAGATTGTTTGTACTCACTATGGCCTGTACTTCCATCAAACCCCCATTTTCTTATTAGGACAAGGGAGTTTTCCGGATCACCAGCAGAAAGAGACTCGAGCACTTCTTTTTGTGACTCCAATAGCCGTGAAGTTGTATGATCAAGCAGAGCTTATAATTCAACTTCAGCGCTCGATTCAGTAACAGTAATTTGATCTGCAACTGGGTAACAGCTTTGCTTTTCCTGTAAAACAGACTTATAACTAGGCAACAAATTAAACGGTAACTTATTATTTACGAATGAACGAATCAACAAATATTGATGCTTCGTCAATTTCGCTTCCACAATAAGGGAAACGATATCCTTAAGAGAAGCTTCCGCATAACTGGCGTCAGCAATTCCAGCCGAGTCATTACTTAACATTGAAGCAAATGATTCGTCGATCTGGCGGATCTCACTTCGCTTTCTCTATTGCGAGCGCCTACAGCATTGGTTGTAGTCCTTCTTCGGCCGTCCGCGCTTTTTAGGGAATCGCGATGACGTGGCGAGGAGCTCGGCCGACTGGCCAAATCCAAGAGTAATTGTTTCGGTTGTCATAAGAAAATCGCCTTCTGCCGCCAAAAACGAGACCTTATGGTACCTATGCTTTTTCCACAGCAACTTTATTCTCGTACAGATATATTTTATACGTTGCTGCAATTTATCTAAACAACAGTTCTCTTTATCTTCCATCTGCATGGAGCTCTGTATTTCTTCGAATACATGTACCCGCTCCGAACTAGCCAATCTTTGGTTTTTGAATTTGTACCAAATATCAAATACTAACAGTCTGTTAGACGCAGTGACGGCTGAACCTAAAACAAAAAATATCAACATGAATAAAATTTAAAAAAACATCGTAATTACTGTTAATTTTCGTAGTTTCTGCTACGAGACGCATACCTTGGCGTAGCACCCAAATAACTCAAAATACTGGATGAGCCTGGATCAAATTTTAGTAGATTATTATAATAGAAGGTGGTCTCTAATTTTTTCATACCCAATGTATTGTAAACAAGTGTAAAAAACCGGTTAAACGTTAAGATGAAATAAAACTACATATCAAAATTGATACAAAAAAGTTGATCGCGTAGCGCTCAAATAACATGAATACTAAATGATAATTCTACAAGTGAATTATATATTTAAAATATACATACCTTGACCTTGAATATCCATCACAAAAAAATACCACGATAATTTTCAGTTTCCGGGAATCAGTACCAAACAAACACGTAAACAATGGACGATTCACTGATAAGAAAGAGCGCGTTAGATGTGTTCACTTCGGAGGACGTTTTGATAATGAAAGTAATTAGTAAATTACTTCAATTTATATTTTTTTCAATGTTTGGACATAGTAATAGTGAGTACTCATTTTGCGATACGTGAACATACTTTTTTTTATTTTTGTCATATGGGGGGAACCGTAATGCACCAGTGGTTAGGTTTCTTCTAATTTCGTTTGCGGCATCAATAATTTTTTGTCTCAAGACATCGACGGATATTATTGGGTTTGTATCATTGTACACCAAACTTTTCATGTGTCCCCAAACATAAAAATCCATGGGCGTCAAGTCTGGACTCCTAGCTGGCCATGGAGTGGGTCCTACTCTTCCGATCCATTTGTTTGGATAATTAGTGTCTAGCCACTCTCTGGCACTTCTTCTGTAGTGTGCGGGGCATCCGTCGTGTTGGAACCACATGTCTCGTATAAGGTCAAGTGGTATATCGTGGAGTAAATCAGATAGATCTTGTCTCAAAAAGTTTTCATATGTTTCTCCATCCAAACGTTCAGGCAGAAACTAAGGCCCAATTAAATAGTTGGAAACCAGTGTTGGGCAAAATTTAATTGTTCTGGCAATTAAAGATTGACAATTGATTAATTGTCAATTGCAAATATCTACTATTAACAATTTATCAATTTTCAATCTTTTCAATGTTTTTGATTAACAATTAACAATTAAAACTGACAATTATGATAAATTTATAGGGCATATGTTGGGGGCCTGCTGGGGGCAGGTTAGAGGGTCGGTTGGGGGCCCCGGTTGGGAACCCCGCTTGGGGGCCCCGGTTGGGAGCCCCGCTTGGGGGGGCCCGTTTGGGGCTCCCGGTTGGGGCCCCAACTGGGGCCCTCAACCGGGGCCCTCAACCGGGGCCTCCAACCGGGCCCCCCAACCGGCCGGAATTGATTTTAATTGCAAATTTAATTGCAATTAAAATCAATTCAATTGAAATCAATTTCAATTAAAATCAATTGCAATTAAAATCAATTGCAATTAAATCAATTGCGACGCGTCGCAAATCGCAATTGATTTAATTGCAATTGATTTCAATTGAATTGATTTTTTAATCTGATTGAATTATTGATTGAAATTTAATTGATTAACGCCCAACACTGTTGGAAACTATTCCCATCCACACGTTGAGGCTGAATCGTCTTTGTGATCCCTTTACCCGCTTTTTATTGGGATTTAATTGTGCCTTCGGAAACCAATAATGAAGGTTATGATAATTGGTAATGCCATCTTGATCAAATTTTGACTCATCTGTCCATAAGATTCTTCTCAAAAATCCAGGATCGTCCAAATCGGCGTGCAGCATAAATCGGCAGAAAGCCAGCCTTCTCACAGGATCTTCATCTTCGATATGATGTACCGGCGTGTAGTGATAGGGGTAGAGACCGGCAGTATGCATCGTATGCCACACTTTCCATTGTGAGAACCCAAGTTCTCGGGCAATAATATTGGTTGAAGTAGTTGGATCCCAGCGAAACCGTCGAACTATCTCATTATCCTGATCTTCATCATCATCATTAACACGTGGTCTACCTAGGTCTGTTCGTCTTCTCAAAACAGAGCCAGTCTCTCTCAAGTCGTCGGTAAACTCCCCCGAATACACTAATATCTGGTACTCGGCGGCCGGGATAACGTGTTATGTATTCATTACGAGCTCGTAGGGATACACAATTGCAGTACCCATAACAAATTAACATATTAACATATATATATTCTTCATTCGTGTAGGTCGTCATCTTCAACAGTTCCAAATCAAAATTAAAGTCCAGTTAACAAGCACAGTCACGAATAGGAAGAAACAGTCCAGGAAAACAAGCCAAGTCGAGTAAAAAACGAAGAGCACTGAATATCGCATCTACAACGGACGAATAACGTAAGCAGACTAACCAAACACAATAACAAAATGAGTCGGTTAAAAATGGCATAAACGGAGAATTACGTCTTGTCTCACTCGCACCTGTTTACATCGTATGATATCCTGTTCGCACGCACCGCAATCCTTTACAGGACAATAGGCGCAGGTAGTAGCTTAACGTACCCCTATTGTTTACTACTCTACCTGGTAGCTTTTCATCCAATTTATTGTCTAGGCATTCTAATAATAACCTAGCTTGTAATACCTTTTTGGAAAGCTAAAGAACCGTAGATATTTTTAAGCACATCTGCAGCACAACTGTCATAGACATTTTTCAAAATCTAAAAAAGAATAAAAAAAGCAATTAATTTATTTTTTTTAATAATAAATCGTCTACTACGGCGCAGTTTGTACAATTACTTGCAAATTTTGGTATTTTGAGTAATAAATCTATTAATCTACTACACAAAAATACCAAAAACAAAATGATGACAAGCACAAGACACAAAGAATGGGACATTAGGAAAAAAATTGGACTTTTTTAAAAAAAAACTACAAAGTCCTTATAACATGAGAACGGTTCAGTTTGGGGTATGGTGTTTCATAGTGAAATTAGTCAGAAATGATGCAAACTGTTACCCCTTAAAGGATTCAGGTCGACTTAACCTTTAACCCTGTATAATTAGCTCGATGTGTACATAATTAACCAAATGACTTACTAAATTATAACTAATTAACTAATATATTACAAACAACTTATCTATTATTTGAACATTTCTTAATTGTATTCTGAAAATATGCTCATTCGTCATCGCTGAGCTCGTCCTCTAAAGTATCTTCAACACAATAATCTGTGTGACTAGTGCTAGATTCAACAGGAGCTAATCTTTTAGGAAGACTTGAAATAATTAAGTCTAAAACTCCGGAAGAAAGAGAACCTGACTTCTTTTGCGGAATATCTCTGAGGCTGTTAATCACAGGATCAGATGTAATTATTAACATATTAAGTAAGTCTGTGTTCGGGGCTATACGTGAATATTTTCGTGTGTTATCCGCTCGAAATCTTCTGCAATCTTTATTTCGAGCTTCTTGAGCTTCTTCAGAAAGTTGCCCGATTGGCAAAAGAGCCGATTGAATTATTTCTACACTATGTACAAGTATTTTATGTACAGTTGCAGGCATGTAATACCACGAATACAGACTCAAATAGAGATTTCTTGTCTCTTGTGCTAGATGTTGAAATTTTTCTAAATTTATGTCATATCCGGAAGAAAGTGTTCTTAGCAAAATATCGAAATTCTTTATCAAAATCACATCTAATCCTGTACTTAACTCAGGATTTGCAAAAAACCTGCGAGATTCCCATCATTAGTGTTGCCAAATCCCGGCTTTGGTTTATCTACATTTAAGCCCATTTCTTCTTTAAAGCGTACTTGAATCGCTGCAGAACGTGTTGTTTCACAAGAGCTTTATCGTTTGTGTCTCGTAATTGACATTTTTTTACATCAATACGATAGCTTATAATAATAATAATAATAATATTTATTTCAGATTATCTCCATATTGTGTTAGTAACAATTGTAACCTTATGACTATGTTAGTTAATACAAATTTTAAATTTTAAATTTTAAATTACATTAAATTAATCCCTCCTTGCTGTCGCGTGAAGAGCCTCCCATGCCTGTACAAATGGGCCGTCGACTCTGTCCGCAACAATGGCCAGGAGGCCGTTTGAGCTGCCGCGCACGCGCCGCAGCAACGACACAACGCGCTTACGCATAATGGCGTGAAACCCGTCCGTTTGCGTCTCCGCGAACATTCCTGACGCACTACAATGGCGCGGCAGCCCCAACAACATCCTGAACGCGTTGTTGTATTGGACTCGCAGGGCGCTGTAAGCCTTTTGAGTGTAGTGGATCCATAGGCTGCACGTGTAAAATGATTGACAGTATGCCCTGAAGAGCGTAATTTTTACGTTATTGGTACAGTTTGCGAACCTACGGATCAACATATTACTTCTGACTGCCAGCGCCCTACGCTCCCGCTCCAAGTCCACGTTATCCTTAAGAGTTGCAGTGACCCAGTGCCCCAGGTACTTAAACTCAGTAACGCGCTTCAGAGGCGTGCCATTAAGTCGAACAGGCGGAACTTGAGCAGCCAATACTGCACCCTTTGCCTCAAAAATCAGCAACTCGCTTTTTGAAGTATTGTACCTGAGGCCATGCATCTCCGCATACTGCTCACATACAGCCAGTAACTTCCTAAGGGCGCTGATTGACGGGCTCAGCAGCACCATATCATCTGCGTAACTTATGTTATTCACAAAAGTCCCATCCACGGAGCAGCCTACCATTGCTGCTGAGCTCCTCAATCAGCCGATTAACATACAAGCTGAAGAGCCTGGGTGACGTCAGCCCCCCCTGTCTCACCCCACACCCCAACCTGTATGGATCGGATAGCGTGTCTGCCCACCTCACAACATTTGTCTGGTGACCATACCAGAACCTGAACAACTCCACCAGCTCACCAGGCAGTGTTGTGTCTTCGTACAGCTTCTGCCATAGTTTACCATAGGACACCAAATCAAATCAAAGGCCTTCGACAAGTCCAGGAAACATGCGAATACAGGTGTTTTCCTGTCTGTATAGTATCGAACAGTGTGCTTAAGACAAAGAACTGCTGTCTCCGTGGAGAGTCCGGGTCTAAAACCAAATTGCGCGTCATTGAGTTTTATATGACTATCTAGTTCTTCGTCGAGCACACTGTCCAACACCTTTGCTACAATTGTTGCCAATGAAATGGGCCTATAGTTCCCCATGTCAGATGCATCCCCTGTTCGGTTCTTTATGATCGGTACTACCACGGTTTTCATCATATCTTCAGGTAGATATGTATGACCGACACAGAAGGTGAAGAGCATGGCTAGTACTCTGGGTAAATGTACTCCAGCATGTTGCAGATGTTCAATACTAAGGTAGTCGTGTCCAGGTGACTTACCGCGCGTCATGCCCCTCACCAATCGCGCCACTTTCTTAGCTGTGATAATCACAGGGGGAGCCGTAGCCGCTCGTCTTACAGGAAGTGGTTCCTCACTCGCTGCTAATGGAGACTCAACTTGGAAGTGTTGTTTAAAAAGCTGGGCAATCTGGTCTGTCTCGCTAACACCATCCACGCTCACAGGGAGGCCCGACCTGGGACTCAACTTGTTGGTCTGTTTCCAGAATTTACTAAAATTTTTATTCGAATGATGTGTTGCTAAAATGTCCATTTTAATTTTTTCAGCATTTGTTTGACACCATTTTAATTTTTGTTTGAATATTTTTCTTGTTTCTGACATGACCTTAAACACAGGCCCACTGTTAGGCTTTCCACACGCGACCCAGTTTTGAAACCCAAGTCGAGCCTCCACGTGAGCTTGTCGTACATATTTGTTCCACCCTATAACGTGACGCTTCCGTTTCAAATTCACATTATTACTATAACTAAAAATCGCAGCTCCTCTTAATATGTCAATAATATTAGCGTAAAACTTGTCAATAACTAACCTATGTTGCACATTATCACAGTGTTTGTCACTACAATTTCTAAATTCAATCGGAAAGTCAATAGCTCTAAAATAATCATTACAATACTGTGTATACAATGTCATTTGTTCTGGGTTTCGCTCCCCCCAAATAATTTTATTACATTTCTTATTATTTGACACATTTTTAGTCCTAATCATATTTAAATCGCATTCTATCTCCAGCGGCTGATGATCAGACCAATAAACATCATAATGTATTTTAGCATTCTGTACCGATTTGCACGCTGCCTCAGACACTACACAATGGTCCAACCAGCTTCTCGTGCCATTAATGTCACTAACGTACGTATACGAAGCTGACCCTGCTCCTAATATTTCCATATCAGCACACTGCCACTTTTGCTCCGCACAAAAGTCTAGGAGTTCCCTACCAAATCTCCTATCAGGGTGAGCATTAAAGTCGCCTAGGATGAAAACGGAATCTATCTGACACTCTTCCACTATTGCCGCTAACTCACCCAGACACTCGGTAAACTCCATAAGATTATCAGCAGAGTCAGTTGGCATGTACACGGAAAACACTAATAGCGACCGGTCCGATAACACTATCTTTATGGCAGCTATGCGCACACTTTTACATTGCACTACTGACACTGATGTAAACAAACTCTTACGCCAGAGCACCCCGACACCACCGAACGGTCTCCCGCGCAGAATCCCAGCTCCTGTATCGACTGCTGATTTCCCAGTAAACCCGAATTCAGGGTCAATGCTACTTAAATACGGTATATCTTCTTGTAGCAGCCATAGTTCTTGCAAGCAAATGATATCCGCCGTGCGACATAAGGTTCTAACACAATCGACCGAGCGCGTAACCGACCTACAATTAAAACTAAACAGTTTTATATTTTTATGTTTTAAGTTAGTGTTTTGATCCATTAAGACATGTTTTTCTTGTCAATAATCTTTTCACTACCATTATTTTGCTTATGTGAAGTAAACATTCGAAACAACGAATCCAAGCATGCAATGTCGATAAACCAAAACCTAGGTTGTCTTTGTTAGCCACGAACTCCTTGGAGTCATCATTCATTTGTGGGGTAGCTCCACAAATATAACATTTTTGTGCTGACGAAGTTTCGGTCAAAGCGTTGCAGACTTTACCGTCAATCATCGTCAAAAGTAGTGAATGCTTGACGGAGATTTCAAGACCATCATGGACACTACATATTGTTGGCAATAGTTCATTTATGTCTTCCAGTACTTTATTTGTCTAGGACACTGTTAATTCTTTGGTTTCTTTGATGAACATGTACTTTATTGGACGACAATACATAGTGGACGATGGACGAGGGTTCTGCCAAAAAAATTTACCACTTTGATCTTGTTATTGTATAGGTACAAGTGAATAAACAAACAGAAACTCATCTGCATCGGCGTCCTGCCTCCCGTGTGCTAGCGCGCGGCTCCTCTTCAAAATAGTCCAAGATGCGCTCCTGCAGGTCCACGCTGATGCCTACATTGCCACGACCTTCAGCATTTATAGGCTCATCGAACTGGCGATAATCGCGCAGTTTTTGAGTCGCAGCAAGCATCACCCGATAATTTGGCAGCGGCCGATTTGGGAACATTTCTCCGAACATTCTAATCGCTCGTCTCACACTATCACCACTTATTGCGTAAAGTCGCACCATCTCAGTCAATTCGACATTTGAATATGTATCCATTTTGCGGGCGAGAAAAGAGATCGCCGCGCGCCGGCGCTGTGATCGGGCGAGCGAAAGTACTACACGTGTCTTCGCGAGGGCGGCCGCGCGTGCACTGTCTGATGGGCTCTGCTCCTTGATGTGCCGCGCTCAAAGAGGCCGCGCTCGCTCTAGTAGACTCGCGCTGCGTGGGAACATCAATAGGGATGTGCATGGATTTCGACGACTAATGTTGTTCACAAGCAGTAGTCGATAAAAAAATTAAAAAATTTTTTTTTTTTTTGTAAAATATAACTTAATTTTTTTTTCTTTGGGTTCAGAATCAGGAATATAACGCACTCTATAAGTATGTCTCACTTTCAAATTTACAGCCTGTATAAAAAGGGCACTTTTCGAGCAAGAAATTCCACTTGAATAATAAACTAGAAGACTACCTATCACAGGAAAAAATATCGATCCAGGGAGAAGAGGGGATTTTTACTTTTAGTCTTTTGAATTTGAAAAATGTAAAAAAAAAGGTACCTTAACAACTTCGCGAGACATTTCCTTTTAAATGCCTTATTAAGCTTTTCGGATACGTTATCATATCAAGAGCAAAAATGCATGTAATTTTATGCTTTTTTTCTAGTTGTCTTATATACATATGCTTATTACTAATGATCTATGTCATTAGTGAAAAAATCATACTTACCGATGTGATCAGCAACTAATATCCTACTTACCGTAATTAACCTTTCTGGGAAATGTTAATGTCAATATTGTCCAGCTAGCTTGTTCTACACGAAACACCGTGCGTTGTCGTGACAACTTGATCTTCAACTAATATTTTGGATGTGACATCCATAACAGTTTGTCATTGGACTTCATGTAGAAAAAAAAAAA